TGCCTTGGTGGGAATCGGCCAGTGTGATAATAAATAATAAATAAATAAGGATTACAATGCTGAGTTTACTGAATTTGGTTATTGTGTGGTTTACATGTAGAAAATAATACTTACAGAGTGTACCACTAGAACACCTAGCATGGCTAGGCATTTCGGGCAGATTTAAATTAAATCTTAAGTTTAAAATATTACAAAATTATGAGGTAAGTTGGTATTATGGCTAAGTGACTAAATACTAGTTTGTGAGTTTAGCAGTGTTGTTAAGCCCCATGCACAAATTCCATAGGTGAGATAGGGGTAAATAAGTGAGTGATATAGGGCCAGGAGGGGTGACTGTGGAACATAGCACCGGTCTTGGAAATTTGTTGTACATGTGTTTGAAATTTGAGTCTATTATCAAGGTGGATTCCTAAGAATTTTCCCTATGTGAGCTTTGTGATGGGTGATCTGTTTATCATTATGTTAAGAGGGACATCTGTATCTCTGTTACCAAGCTGAATGAAGTAGGTTTTGTCGATGTTGAGAGTAAGTTTGTTAGTCATCATCCAGGTAGATATTTTCTGTAATTCGGTATTCACAGTATTGGCTAGCATGACTGGGCTTGGGTGAGAGAAGATGTGTGTAGTGTCATCTGCAAATAGTGTGGGTTTGAGTAGTTGCGATGCATTTGGTAGGTCATTTATGTAAACGAGAAAGAGAAGAGGGCCAAGGACATTCCCTGTGGGACACCAACTGTAATTGACTGTGCGGAAGAATTTGCTCCATTTATGTACAAATATTGGCTTCTGTTGCTGAGGTATGACTTTAGGTAGTTGAGGGAGTGCCCTCTTATACCATAGTGCAACAATTTTATATGGAGCAAATCATGGTCAACTGTATCAAAAGCTTTACGTAAATCAATGAAGATCCCCCAGTGGAACTTCTTTTTTCTCTAGTGCAGTGTATATTTGTTCTAGCATGTGTATAATAGCATCATTCGTATTTTTATTAGGCCTGAACCCAAACTGGCGGGGGTTGAGTATGTTGCGGGAGATGAGGCAGGAATAGATTCGCTTATGAATTAATTTTTCGAAGATTTTAGAGAGAGGGTGTAAGTTGGATATTGGTCCATAGTTATTCAAGTCTGTTTGGTCTCCTTTATGGATCGGGGCGACCCTCGCTATTTTGAGAACTGTAGGGAAGGTAGAGGATTCGATGGATTTGTTAAAGAGTGTTGCAATGATTGGTGATAGCACATGCGATGCTTTTTTTGTATATAAAGCGTGGTAAGGTATTTAAATCTCCTGTCTTATTTTTTAGTGTGTTGATAATAAGGGAGACTTCTGTTGGGTTAGTTAGAGCTAGGAACAGTGTGTTTGGGTAGTTGCCAGTGAGGTAGTCATTGGGTGGGGTATTTGAGCTTAGGATTTTATTGGCAAGGTTTTTTCCTATGGTGGAGAAGAAATCATTGAGTCTGTTTGCTGTTTCAGTTGGTGGGAGTTGGGGTTCATCTGGTTTTGTTAGTTCAATTGCACTATTTCGTGATATCTTTTTTGTTCTAGAATTTCTGATTAACAAGAATAGTGGTGGAGCACCTGGAAAAAGAATGGGTTAAAAAACCTACTAGAGTTCTGCAAGGTAACAAAAATGAGACAGGAGATGAGAACTCACACACACACGAGCTTTCAAATCTCTGCACAAAATTCAACTTAAACCAGCAAATAATAGAGCCTACTAGACTGGAGAATACATTAGACCTCATCTTCACTAACAATGATGATCTGATACGAAATGTCACCATATCAAAAACAATACACGTACTCAGTTCACAACATAATTGAGGTTGAGACGTGTATGCGCGGAGCCCCAGATCGACAAAATGGGATCAGTCATGAGGGAGCCTTCACCAAATTCAACTTCAATAACAAGAACATAAAGTGGGACCAAGTAAACCAAGTCCTAAATGATATAAGCTGGGAAGATAGACTAAGCAACACAGACCCCAACTTTTGCCTAGAACAGATTAATTCTGTGAACAGATTAACTCTGTGGCACTCAATGTATGCTCAAGGCATATTCCTATAAGAAAAAGGAGTACTGTAGATGTAAAATAGAAAGAGACAGGCACTCCCTTTACAGGCGATGGAAAAGAATAACAGAGCAGCTAAAAGAGGCCAATATATCTGCAATGCATAGGGAGACACTGGTCAGAGAAATAGCAAACATCGAGCTAAAGCTAAAGGAATCTTATAGGAGTCAGGAATCGCGGGAAGAACTAAAAGCCATAAATGAAATTGAAAGAAACCCAAAGTATTTCTTTTCTTATGCCAAATCAAAGTCGAGAACAGCATCCAGTATTGGGCCCCTACTTAAACAAGATGGGTCCTACACAGATGACAGCAAGGAAATGAATGAGCTACTCAAGTCCCAGTATGACTCAGTTTTCAGCAAGCCACTAACCAGACTGAGAGTCGAAGATTTAAATGAATTTTTTATGAGAGAGCCACAGAATTTGGTAAACACAAGCCTATCTGATGTTATCCTGATGCCAAATGACTTTGAACAGGTGATAAATGACATGCCCATGCACTCTGCCCCAGGGCCAGGCTCATGGAAATTCGTATTCATCAATAATTGCAAGAAGCCCTTATCACGTGCTTTTAACATCCTGTAGAGAGGGAGCATGGACAGGGGGTCGTCCCACAGTTGCTAAAAACAACAGACATAGCCCCACTCCACAAAGGGGGTAGTAAAGCAATAGCAAAGAACTACAGACTGATAGCACTAACATCCCATATCATAAAAATCCTTGAAAGGGTCCTAAGAAGCAAATTTGCCACCCATCTAGATACCCATCAATTACACAACCCAGAGCAACATGGGTTTAGAGCAGGTCGCTCCTGTCTGTCCCAACTACTGGATCACTACGACAAGGTCCTAGATGCACTAGAAGACAAAAAGAATGCAGATGTAATATACACAGACTTTGCAAAAGCCTTCGACAAGTGTGACCATGGCGTAATAGCGCACAAAATACGTTCTAAAGGAATAACAGGAAAAGTTGGTAGATGGATCTATAATTTCCTCACAAACAGAACACAAAGAGTAGTAGTCAACAGAGTAAAATTTGAGGCAGCTACAGTGAAAAGCTCTGTTCTGCAAGGCACAGTACTCATTCCCATCTTGTTCCTCACCCTCATATCTGACATAGACAGGGATGTAAGCCACAGCACCGTGTCTTCCTTTTGCAGATGACACCTGAATCTTCATGACAGTGTCTTCCATTGCAGACACTGCAAGGCTCCAGGCGGATGTCAACCAAATCTTTCAATGGGCTGCAGAAAACAATTTGAAGTTCAACGATGAGAAATTTCAGTTACTTCGATATGGTAAACATGAGAAAATTAAAACTTCATCAGAGTATAAAACAAATTCCAACCACACAATAGAGCAAAAAAATAACGTCAAAGACCTGGGAGTGATCATGTCAGAGGATCTCACCTTCAAGGACCATAACATTGTATCAGTCACATCTGCTAGGAAAATGACAGGATGGATAATGAGAACCTTCAAAACTAGGGATGCCAAGCTCATGATGACACTCTTCAGGTTGCTTGTTCTATCTAGGCTGGAATATTGCTGCACACTAACAGCACCTTTCAAGGCAGGTGAAATTGCTGACCTAGAAAATGTAAAGAGAACCTTCACGGCACGCATAACTGAGATAAAAACCTCAATTACTAGGAGTGCTTGAAGTTCCTCAACCTGTACTCCCTGGAATGCAGGCGGGAGAGATACATGATTATATACACCTGGAAAATCCTAGAGGGACTAGTACCAAACTTGCACATGAAAATCACTCCCTATGAAAGCAAAAGACTTGGCAGATGATGCAGCATCCCCCCAATGAAAAGCAGGGGTGTCACTAGCACGTTAAGAGACAACACAATAAATGTTGGGCCCAAGACTGTTCAACTGCCTTCCAGCATACATAAGAGGGATTACCAATAGACCCCTGGCTGTCTTCAAGCAGGCACTGGGCAAGCACCTAAAGTCGGTACCTGACCAGACGGGCTGTGGTTCGTACGTTGGATTGCGTGCAACCAGCAATAACAGCCTGGTTGATAAGGCCTGATCCACCATGTGGCCTGGTCACAGACCGATCCACGGGGGCATTGACCCCCAGAACTCTCTCCAGGTAAAACTCCAGGTAAACTCCAGGAGAGAGAGGGATGGGTGGATTTCATATACGTACATGTATTTGGACTCTAAGAAGGCATTTGACAGAGTGCCGCACAAGAGACTAGCTGAAACATTAGAAGGAATGACATGCAAGGCATTTAAATGGATCCAAGGAAACGAGTGATTGTTTGAGAAAAACATATTGGAATGGTGTATTTGTTGAGTGGAGTACAATAAGGATCAGTATTGGGACTGGTACCATTTCAGGTGTAAGTGAAAGACATGTAGATATAGCCAAACAATGTGAAATTAATGAAGAGAATACAAACAGGTGAAAATCAGAAAGGATTGCAAATGGGCCTGAACAGTGTCCAGACTGTGGAGAACTATGATTTTGAAGGTGATGGAATGATTACATCATCCTTATATCTCTACTGCCTCCTCTGTATTTGACTGAAGAAGCCCAAAATGCCCCAACATGATAGTGGCTTTCATTGTACCTAACAAATTATAAAATGTAATCACACATTGTAACCTTTGCAAAGAAATAAATTTTGTTTTTTTTACTGTGTAGGGGAAACATTTCTGAATAAAGCTACCAAACTGTTGCACATGTCTTACTTATCAACTTGTCGGTATTGTATACTATTAGTATCCCCTAGTATTACTCTCTGTGCATATATTTATTTCTCCGTTGAGTGCTATTCCTTCCTTCCTATTTTTCAGTTATATATTTTTTTTTTTTTGAAATCCTCTTGAAGTCTATTAATTTTCCCCATTCACATTTTGTTTTTATCCTCCCAATGATTAATAAGACCTGCATTTTCCCCCCAATTCAGTATTTCAAAACAATCAACACCCGCATCACAATCACCTACCTGGAAACCTGGTCAGGCAGGAATCTGGTCGACCTGGGCAGAAACCATCCCATCGCCACTGCACTCATAAACTTCTACAACTATGTGGGAGAGAAACTCAACGACTTCCACAAAGACACGTCACATTTAATTACGTAAGTAGGAAGATGAGAAATCATTGTAATGGATGATGAAATACTAGAAAGGCAGGGAGAGGTTCAGGGGTTGCATTCAATAGGTGAGAATTTTTTATGTTGTACTTTAGACATTTAAGTGTTATTTTTTATTTATTACTGTATACAGTACTGTAAATTGAGGACTTGGGCAGTAGAGTTCTGCATTTGTTCAGCCTGACAGTTTCCAGAGGACTAAAACAGTTTTGACAGCTAGCATGCACCTTCATGTTGCAGAGGGGAGCAGTTCCAGAGTGGGGAGTCTGGAATGGGTGTTCCCAACAGCATCTGCACTGCCAAGGCATCCGGCATCTCTGTCGACCTCAATGTGTATGAGCCTCACCTTGTGGCCTCCACCATGACCCACATGATTGGGCACAACCTCTATATGAAACACGATGATGGAAGTAAGTTTACATGCAGAAATACAGGGTGTTTCAAAATAAGGGACCCAATTTCAAAGCAGACTGCTTTGATATTGGGTCCATGTATTTGAACCTCATATTTTACATTATTAAAAGTCAAGAAGCCAATGTTTTTTTTCCTCTATGACTGTGAGCTATGAGTTGTTATGCTGTTTTTAAGTTAGATTAGGTTAAATTTGCAGTGTTCACATCACTATCATGGTTTGCAGGAATATGAAATGCTCTCTTGGTTTTTACTTTGTGTGTAATATAAAGGTTCCACCCCCAACAATGTTTTCAATGTAAGGGATTTCCAGAGGAGAGAGGTTCTTATTTGATGATGATCAAAATAATGGAGTAGTAATTAATTTTTTGTTCTTTCATGGCTTTTGCAGTGGCTGCAATATTCACTAATTCCTGTTTTGTGTCTGAACCTGTGTGTCATTAACTTAGTGTGTTCCAGCTTTAATCTGGTCATTGCTGCTTAGATTTATGCCTCTATATATACATATGTACAGTATGTTCACTCGCAGGATGAGTGGTGCTACCCAAGAAACTGAGCAAAATCTCAATTTATGCATACTGTGCATGATGTCCAGTTGTCAGTGAAGTTGATATTTAATGTAGTATTCTGAGTGTCTTTCCATGCTGTATAAGGGATTGAAAGTTGTGTGGTGTTGCATTGTACATTGCTTTGGTCAGTTCATAAGATATTTCAGTTGTTTTTGGGCCAAATTCATTCATATTTTGTATATAATCATATGGTGTATGTGTGGTAAGCTCATATTTTTTAAGCAAACATTTATTAAAAAATGTGGAATTTGAATATTTTGAAAAATATAACTTGCCCACAAGGAAAAATTTTAAAATATTTGGATATAAAGGTGTACTGATGACTGTAATAAAGAAAAGACACAGGTTCAGAGCAGACTATTTTTTGATGATGTTTTGCTTAGTAGAAGCTTACTGTCTGTCTGGTTCATGAAATAAATTTCTTCATGGTACCTCAGATTATTACATTATGCTAATTATTTTATCAGTGGATGTTGTGCGTGGATGTGCAAATGATAAGAAAGAGATGATTGTGGATGTTATGAATGAGAAGAAGCTGGATGTCCTGGCTTTAAGTGAAACAAAACTGAAGGGGGTGGGAGAGTTTCAGTGGAGAGGAATAAATGGGATTAGGTCAGGGGTTTCAAATAGAGTTAGAGCTAAAGAAGGAGTAGCAATAATGTTAAAGGATAAGATATGGCAGGAAAAGAGGGACTATAAATGTATGAATTCAAGGATTATGTGGAGTAAAGATAAGATAAGATTTCGTTCGGATTTTTAACCCCGGAGGGTTAGCCACCCAGGATAACCCAAGAAAGTCAGTGCGTCATCGAGGACTGTCTAACTTATTTCCATTCGGGTCCTTAATCTTTTCCCCCAGGATGCGACCCACACCAGTCGACTAACACCCAGGTACCTATTTGCTGCTAGGTGAACAGGACAACAGGTGTAAGGAAACGTGTCGAAATGTTTCCACCCGCCGGGAATCGAACCCGGGCCCTCCGTGTGTGAAGCGGGAGCTTTAGCCACCAGGCTACCGGGCCTGGATGTGAAAAGTGGGTTATAGTAAGTGTATATGCACCTGGAGAAGAGAGAAGTGTAGAGGAGAGAGAGAGATTTTGGGAAATGTTGAGTGAATGCGTGGGGAGTTTTGAACCAAGTGTGAGAGTACTTGTGGTTGGGGATTTCAATGCTAAAGTGGGTAAAAATGTTGTGGAGAGAGTAGTAGGTAAATTTGAGGTGCCAGGGGTAAATGTAAATGGGGATCCTTTAATTGAGCTATTTTGGTAGAAAGAGTTTTGGGTAATAAGTAATACATATTTTATGAAAAAGAGGATAAATAAATATACAAGGTATGCTGTAGCATACAATGAAAGTAGTTTGTTAGATTATGTATTGGTGGATAAAAGGTTGATGGGTAGGCTCCAGGATGTACATGTTTATAGAGGGGCAACTGATATATCAGATCTTTTATTTAGTTTGTAAACTACAGTTAGAGTAAGGGTAGATGGGAAAAGAGGAAGGTGGCAACAACAAGTAAGAGGGAGGTGGGAAAATTATAAACTAAGGGAGGAGGAAGTTCGGGCGAGATATAAGCGACTATTGGCAGAAAGGTGGGCTAGTGCAAAGATGAGTAGTGGGGGGGTTGAAGAGGGTTGGAATAGTTTTAAAAATGCAGTATTAGAATGTGGGGGAGAAGTTTGTGGTTATAGGAGGGGGGGGCAGGAGGAAAGAGGAGTGATTGGTGGAATGATGAAGTAAAGGGTGTGATAAAAGAGAAAAAGGTTTGCTTACGAGAGGTTTTTACAAAGCAGAAATGTTTTAAAGAAGAGCAGAGTATATGGAGAGTAAAAGAAAAGGTGAAGAGAGTGGTGAGAGAGTGCAAAAGGAGAGCAGATGAAAGAGTGGGAGAGGCACTGTCAAGAAATTTTAATGAAAAATAAGGGAAAAAATTTTGGAGTGAGTTAAACAAGTTAAGAAAGCCTAGGGAAAGTATGGATTTGTCCGTTAAAAACAGAGTAGGGGGTTTGGAGGGTGGGGAGAGGGAGGGATTAGGTAGATGGCGAGAATATTTTGAGGAACTTTTAAATGTTGAGGAAGAAAGGGAGGCGGTAATTTATGCACTGGCCAGGGGGGTATACCATCTTTTTGGGTGAAGAAGAACAGAATGTAAGTGTGGTGGAGGTACGTGAGGCATTTTCGTAGAAGAAAGGGGGGGTAAAGCAGCTGGAACTGATGGGATCATGACAGAAATGTTAAAAGCAGGGGGGGATATAGTGTTGGAGTGGTTGGTACTTTTGTTTAATAAATGTATGAAAGAGGGGAAGGTACCTAGGGATTGGCGGAGAGCATGTATAGTCCCTTTATATAAAGGGAAAGGGGACAAAAGAGATTGTAAAAATTATAGAGGAATAAGTTTACTGAGTATACCAGGAAAAGTATACGGTAGGGTTATAATTGAAAGAATTAGAGGTAAGACAGAATGTAGAATTGCGGATGAGCAAGGAGGCTTCAGAGTGGGTAGGGGATGTGTAGATCAAGTGTTTACATTGAAGCATATATGTGAACAGTATTTAGATAAAGGTAGGGAAGTTTTTATTGCATTTATGGATTTAGAAAAGGCATATGATAGAGTGGATAGAGAGCAATGTGGCAGATGTTGCAAGTTTATGGAATAGGTGGTAAGTTACTAAATGCTGTAAAGAGCTTTTATGAGGATAGTGAGGCTCAGGTTAGGGTGTGTAGAAGAGAGGGAGAATACTTCCCGGTAAAAGTAGGTCTTAGACAGGGATGTGTAATGTCACCATGGTTGTTTAATGTATTTATAGATGAGGTTGTAAAAGAAGTAAATGCTAGGGTGTTCGGGAGGGGTGGGATTAAATTATGGGGAATCAATTTCAAAATGGGAATCGACACAGTTACTTTTTGCTGATGATACTGTGCTTATGGGAGATTCTAAAGAAAAATTGCAAAGGTTAGTGGATGATTTTGAGAATGTGTGTAAAGGTAAAAAGTTGAAAGTGAACATAGAAAAGAGTAAGGTGATGAGGGTATCAAATGATTTAGATAAAGAAAAATTGGATATCAAATTGGGGAGGAGGAGTATGGAAAAGTGAATGTTTTCAGATACTTGGAGTTGACCTGTGGGCGGATGGATTTATGAAGGATGAGGTTAATCATAGAATTGATGAGGGAAAAAAGGTGAGTGGTGCGTTGAGGTATTGTGGAGTCAAAAAACGTTATCTAGGGAGGCAAAGAAGGGAATGTATGAAAGTATAGTAGTACCAACACTCTTATATGGATGGGGAAGCTTGGGTGGTAAATGCAGCAGCGAGGAGATGGTTGGAGGCAGTGGAGATGTCCTGTCTAAGGGAAAATGTGTGGTGTAAATATTATGCAAAAATTCGGAGTGTGGAAATTAGGAGAAGGTGTGGAGTTAATAAAAGCATTAGTCAGAGGGCAGAAGAGGGGTTGTTGAGGTGGTTTGATCATTTAGAGAGAATGGATCAAAGTAAATGACATGGAAAGCATATAAATCTATAGGAGAAGGAAAGAGGGGTAGGGGTCGTCCTCGAAAGGGTTGGAAAGAGGGGGTAAAGGAGGTTTTTGGGCGAGGGGTTTGGGGACTTCCAGCAAGCGTGCATGAGCGTGTTAGATAGGAGTGAAGGAGACAAATGATACTTGGGGGCCTGACGATCTGTTGGAGTGTGAGCAGGGTAATATTTAGTGAAGGGATTCAGGGAAACCGGTTATTTTCATATTGTCGGACTTGAGTCCTGGAAATGGGAAGTACAATGCCTGCACTTTAAAGGAGTGGTTTGGGGTTTGGCAGTTTGGAGGGGGATGTTGTGTATCTTTATACTATATGTTTCTAACTGTTGTATTCTGAGCACCTCTGCAAAAGCAGTGATAATGTGTGAGTGTGGTGAAAATGTTGAATTTATGATGAAAGTATTTTCTTTTTGGGATTTTCTTTCTTTTTTTTGGGGCCCCTGCCTCGGTGGGAGACGACCGACTTGTTGAAAATATATATATATATAAATATAAATATATATATATATTATATATATATATATATATATATATATATAATATATAATATATATATAAAACTAATATATATATATATATATATATATATAATATATATTTTATATATATATATATAATATATATATAAAAATAATTATTTTAAAAAATATTATATTTTCAACAAGTCGGTCGTCTCCCCCCGAGGGAGGGTGACCCCAAAAAAGAAAGAAAATCCCCAAAAAAAAAATACTTTTATCATCATTCAACACTTTCACCACCTCGCACATTATCACTGTTTTTGCAAAAGGGGGCTCAGAATACAACAGTCTAGAAGCAACACATATAAAGATACACAACATTTTCCCTCCACACGCCAATATCCCCAAACCCCTCCTTTAAAGTGCAGGCATTGTACTTCCCATTTCCAGGACTCAAGTCCGACTATATGAAAAATAACCGGTTTCCCTGAATCCCTTTTACTAAATATTACCCTGCTCAACTCCAACAGATCGTCAGGTCCCCAAGTACCATTCGTCTCCAATTCACTCCTATCTAACACGCTCACGCACGCTTGCTGGAAGTCCAAGCCCCTTGCCCACAAAACCTCCTTTACCCCCTCTCTCCAACCCTTTCGAGGACGACCCCTACCCCGCCTTCCTTCCCCTATAGATTTATATGCTTTCCAGTCATTCTACTTTGATCCATTCTCTCTAAAGACCAAACCACCTCAACAACCCCTCTTCTGCCCTCTGACTAATACTTTTATTAACTCCACACCTTCTCCTAATTTCCACACTCCGAATTTTCTGCATAATATTTACACCACACATTGCCCTTAAACAGGACATCTCCACTGCCTCCAACCGTCTCCTCGCTGCTGCATTTACCACCCAAGCTTCACACCCATATAAGAGTGTTGGTACTACTATACTTTCATACATTCCCTTCTTTGCCTCCATAGATAACGTTTTTTGACTCCACATATACCTCAACGCACCACTCACCTTTTTTCCCTCATCAATTCTATTATTTATTTATTTATTTTATTTATTTATTTATTTATTTTAATCATTTCAGGAGGGCCAAACTGCTACTGTCAGGACTGGCATGGGTGTATTATGTCAAAGAATGTGGTTGGTCAAGACAATGTTCAGCCTTCAAAGTTCTCTAAGTGCTCAGTCGATGACTACCATCATGCTCTGCAAACTGTTGAAGAAGCAAGTTGTCTTCTCCACACTCCAACTAAGGTACTGTTGATTTTTTTTTTTTTTTTTTTTTTTTTTTTTTTTTTTTTTTTTTGAGGGGGGGAGGGATGTAGACTGAGATGAGAAATTGATGGTGGTGGTAGTGGAGAAACTGGAAAAAATGTCTAAAAAAGATTTTAAAAGAAATGAAAAAAAAACCAAAGATGATGAGCTTTATTTCTTTACCTGAAGCAGTATCTGCCTCACCATTGAAAAATTTAGCTTTAGTAGAAAACTAAATTTGTGGGCATTTTTTTCATCTTTTTTACCTTTCCAAATTCATTTTAAAAGTATCTTTAAACCCCCAATAACTAAATGTTAGTGGATTTTTTAAGTAATTTTTTTTAAATAATGTTTTTTAAATTTCAACCTCTAAATCATCTGATTGTATTGCTTATTCAGAAAAATTTAAACGTGTTTCTTAAAACCCCAGCTTTCCTTTTTTTTCTTGTTTCCTTTTACCCCTAGTTTTGATCAATGGACCAGGAAATAGAAAGTCAACAGTTGATACCAGGCAACCACAGGGGAATTCATTTCAGCTTGTTTTTTCTTTAAAATTTTTTGTATTGGTGTAGTTTTGATCTTGAGTGGGTGCTTCAAGTTTTTTTTGTTGCATTAAATGTTTAAATACCATTGGAAACATTTTAAAAACATAATGATTTTATTTTTTTAGGTTGTAAATTATATAGGGACCAATAAATGTGGATAAAGACACTTGCTACGTTTTAAATACAGCCTCTCCTCACTTACCAAAAGGGTTTTGTTTCCTAAACCACGCCAGTAAAGAATTCGTTGCAAAATGGGACAACTATAAAAGGTAGTGGAGTTGTGTCAACTTCTTTGATATTGTTTTAATGCCACCTTTGCCTATGTTAACATTTTGGGGAATTTTAAAGTTTTTTTACTTAGTTTCTGTTATTTTAATAAATAAATTAGAGGAAATCGCTTTAATAACATTTTTTAGGAATGAAAACTGGGCAGAGAGTACATCGTAAGTCTGAAACGTGGTAAACAGTACGTCGCTAAGTGAGGAGAGGCTGTATTTATTAATCGGGGCATTTTTTCCTACCAGGGACTTTGTCAAAACTGTTACACAGACACCAGGAAAAAGATTTCCAATATATGAACCAGTGAGGTAGAAGAGTGAATAAAGATCAGGGGAATGACCAGATGGCCATACACAACTGTAGAACAGACCAGCAAGGGGGAGGAACAAGCTATATACTAATTCCAAATCAACTCGAATGTATCAATAAAATCTTGCACAAGGATGAAACGATGGAGAATATAACATAGAATAAGCCAAATTTAAATCAAAAAGTCCTGCAAAAACCCCTCCACAGTTTATAAACATCTACAGAGTACACAGTCAAACATTTAATCACTTTTGTGAAAAACTAGGAAACATGATTACAGATGCACACCTGAATAAAGACCACCTACTTACTAAACAGAGATTTCAGACATAAACTACTAACTACATACGACCAGGACCCACAAGTAACCAAATTCATAAACCAACACCAATGAGTACTGCCTTTTGCGTACCAGCAATATCAAAACCTACAAGAATTTCCGAGACAGCATCTCCTTAAAAGACCACATCTGGGACAAACACCATATCCCCTTTAAAATCAGCATAATCACAGACAACATTACAGACCACTACCAACCTTTCTCATCACGTAATCAGGGCAAACTACCACAAGACATTACTAAAGTAACCTTTCAGACTACATAATGAGACAGCAGGTTATCAACTTTAAAGCAGCTAAGAATACAACGATTGGACAAAATGGTGTAGATTGTGGCATGCAAAGAGTACGTAACCTTTTATTCGAGCATGTACACCCCTCATTTACATAGCTATCTCCCCCAAGCCACGAACAGGTGTACCTGAGGGTTGATGAATTGGGCCCAGTCCGTTCAAGGTAACTAATACAAGGTCCAGCCAATGAGAAGATGGATTTGGCAATCGCAGAGGTTATGTTGGTACCACTCTCCTTGTCTGCCCATGTCATTCCATTCTAGAGCTGGGTTGAAGCACGGACTGCTGTCGCTACAAATCAACCAGGATTGACCAAGCTGTCAACAGCCTAACTTAAAAAAATTCCGATACTTAGCTGGGATACAAGTATATGCCCCTACACTGTGTCTTCACTACTTATAATCGGAAAAATCACTGTCATTTAAACATCTGACATAAATTTTCCTGTGCCTTACCAAACAATGCTGTGTGAACCAACTATGCCCAGTGCTGTTACCGGCCAACCTCAAGCACGAGCCTGATTTTTCAAAAGCTTCGAAAAATTGTTCTGGTTCGGCCTCATTGAAGTGGGGAAGAAGCTGTACTGCTTTCTGTAAACTAAAGTCATTTACAGAATGCGAAAACTGCCTCCTTTCTTTTTCCCTATCAAATTCTTCTTTTGCAAATGCTCTCTATTCCCTAGTCTGCTCAAGATTGATTTTTGCCAGCTCAAGTGCCAACGGCGTTGATTCACCTTGAGACAACCCTGCTGCACTATACTGACGATTTTGCTCCGTTGATATATCATCTTCCTCCTGCGAGAACATAGGAGTTTTTTCCCTAGCTCCCATAGAGGGAGAAGTCTGATGTGCCATCTCTTCTTCTCGAAGTTTGTCAGTGATCAGTGAACGCAGTTGCGCAGCTGTGAGAGTGTTTGTAATTAATGCCAATGGAACGAGCAATTTGCCAACAACGCTGTAGGGACAATTTAGGTAGGTTAAACAAAGTACGTGTATGCCGACACCAGACGTCTGACTCGTCTAGGTGGCATACCACAATGTATAAGTTATTTGCTATGCACAGTATGATTGCAGAATACCCCAACATAACACGTTATTTGCAGAACACACTTAGCTATGCACAGTACGATTGCAGAATATGCATACAAGGTAGATACGCAATAGCAAAGCTGACTGCAAAATCTTCACACCGAACAGGCTAGTAGCGAGCTGTTGAACGATCACACAATAGCAAGGCTGACCATAGCAAAGCAACTGACACGCAAAATTTGTAAAGCGTTGGCAAAGCTGAATGCAGTGCCAGACAGCAAGCTACACACTGTTCTACAAGATTAACCGTAGCGAAGTGAGCACACCGAACAAGCTAGTAGCGAGCTGTTGAACGATCACACAATAGCAAGGCTGACCATAGCAAAGCAACTGACACGCAAAGTTTGTAAAGCGTTGGCAAAGCTAATGCAATGCCAGAAAGCAAGCTGCACAATGTTCCTGCTACCAGCTTCACCCTAGGCTCAACCCTCTCTCCAAGTCCAGCTCCAGCTCCTGGACAGGCCCCCATATTACAACCCAGGAGTCCAAATGGCCTGTTATCCTGGGTGTAAAGAGAGCAAAGTAAACACAGCAGAAAACTTTTGACTTATATTATCCTTCACCAGTTTAGAACAGCAGTATGTACACTACATACACTATGTACAGTGATAGGTATTAGTGCACTCCACGGTAAGCAAGGCAGAATAGAAGCCACTAGAGAGCAGACCGTGCTTCAACCAGCTCTAGAATGGGAATGACAAGGGCAGACAGGAGAGTGGTACCCACATAACCTCTGTGATTGCCAAAACCATCTTCTTATTGGCTGGAACCTGGGTACTAGTTGAACGACGGGGCCCCATCGTCAACTCTCAGTCACCTGGTTTGCTGGTTGGGGGAGATATCCTGTAAATGAGGGTGTGTACATGCGCCAAATAAAGGTTATGTACTCTCTGCATGCCACAAACTACTAAAATGTAACATAGATATAAATGCAGTGATGATTCATGAGCATTCCCTCTAAAGAGCACATCATAACCTATTTGTTTCCATATTTTATATACAATATATTTGGTGCACTTAGGAGTCTGTGGAGACAAAGAACTTTGTCCTTGGAGGCAAAGAGGGGAATGTATGAGAGTATAGTTTTACCAACGCTCTTATATGGGTGTGAAGCGTGGGTGATGAATGTTGCAGCGAGGAGAAGGCTGGAGGCAGTGGAGATGTCATGTCTGAGGGCAATGTGTGGTGTGAATATAATGCAGAGAATTCGTAGTTTGGAAGTTAGGAGGAGGTGCGGGATTACCAAAACTGTTGTCCAGAGGGCTGAGGAAGGGTTGTTGAGGTGGTTCGGACATGTAGAGAGAATGGAGCGAAACAGAATGACTTCAAGAGTGTATCAGTCTGTAGTGGAAGGAAGGCGGGGTAGGGGTCGGCCTAGGAAGGGTTGGAGGGAGGGGGTAAAGGAGGTTTTGTGTGCGAGGGGCTTGGACTTCCAGCAGGCATGCGTGAGCGTGTTTGATAGGAGTGAATGGAGACAAATGGTTTTTAATACTTGACGTGCTGTTGGAGTGTGAGCAAAGTAACATTTATGAAGGGATTCAGGGAAACCGGCAGGCCGGACTTGAGTCCTGGAGATGGGAAGTACAGTGCCTGCACTCTGAAGGAGGGGTGTTAATGTTGCAGTTTAAAAACTGTAGTGTAAAGCACCCTTCTGGCAAGACAGTGATGGAGTGAATGATGGTGAAAGTTTTTCTTTTTCGGGCCACCCTGCCTTGGTGGGAATCGGCCAGTGTGATAATAAAAAAAAAATTTTGCATGCAACAAGACTTTAACCCTTTGAGGGTCGACAGGCCCTCTCCGAAACTCGTTCTCAGGGTCGGCCAAATTTAAAAAAAAAAAAAATTATTTTCTCTTATGAAAAGATAGAGAATCTTTTCCCGATCATAAAGACACCAAAAGTTTGAAATTTGATAGAAAACTTACGGAATTATGCTCTCGCAAATTTAGCGGTCTCGGCGATGTTTGCATGGGCGATTTTGCCATTTGAGCCCATTTTTTGGCCAATTTCGCTGTACTAGTCATAAAAACGTGAATATTCGCTAAATCATTTTCTATGGAGGCGAAAAACCACCCATTTATGAATTAATATCCATAAGGGAGAATTAGCATTTCAATGTAAAAATTTCAAGAGGGGCCAATATATCAGAATTCTAGTTATAAGAAAGTCATCTGGCACTAAATGGAATTTCATGGAGTCATAAAGAAAGGCAAGAGGCCCTTAAGGTTTTATATAATATTTGCATTTTTAGGGTAATACAAAAAATTAATAAGATTCTTAGGGAGCATAGGAAATTGTGGTAAAGAATGGGTATTAAAAATTGTGTGTTTGAAAGAATATTAGACTAATAGTTGACGTGTATTGAGCTGGGAAGATTTGTTATTTTGAAGTAGGGTAAAAATCGGGAAAATTAGCTATTGAGTTTATTTAAAGCAGCATTGATGCAAACAGGGAAAATATCTCATTTCGAAAATAGTTACCATTCAATAATGGAAAGAAAAAGAAGCAAATAGAGGTACATTTTACAAAATTTTAAAAAGAAATGTTTATTGCAAAAAAGTTAAAAAGCTTTTTTGAATATGGCATGTGTCTGCAGAATTTTTAGACGGTGCAACTGAATCACATGACTTTTTGCATATGAAGGAATCAGCTTTTCCATTGATTTGATGC